ATCTTTATTGTTGAAAGTATTTCATAGATTCCCCTTTTCTCCCATTAACCTCTTCCAGCCCTCTCCAGTCCCCTCCTGAGGCACCCACCACCCCATTGTCTGTGTCCACAGGTTATGCATAAATGCATACAAGTTCATTGGTTGATCTCTTCCCACCCACTATCCCCTGCCTATATGTTCTAAGTTTTAAATTTTTGGTTAAAATGCAAAATTTTTCAATTTAAAAAATATTAGAAATTAGAATAATATATGCATGTAAGTTATGATTCTAATGGACAATTTTTCTGTCTAGGTGTAGCTCAGTCATGACTAATTAACCTGCCTCAATGTTTCTCTTCTCTCTTTGTACTAAAAGGGAGAGCGTGGAAGTCCAGGCCCAGTAGGTCCCCAGGGAGAGAAGGGTGCTATGGTAAGAGCTCAATGATTTGAAAGATATGTTTCCAAAGAACATAACAAAGTTGAGGCATTCCAGAGGTAGAATTATCTTGGATGCAATATAAGTAAATGAAAAATACTATTTTATAGTAAATTACCATTAGAATTTTCTTCTTCTTTAAACAGTTTACCTTTTAGAATGCTGTATGAAAGGTAAAAATCTTTCAAATCAGATGGCTTGGTCAGATATTTTTAAGTGTGACAGAAGCTAGAACAAATTATTATTATCAATAAAAGAATCTTATTTTCAGAAAATATATTATAATGGCACATAATGCTGTCTACAGTTTTATTTTACCTAAGTTATTCTTTAGTGTTTTGACTTTTATATTATCAGAAAAGCAGTATAAAGGTTTTTGTTGTTGTTTTTTAAAACTATCTCCAGTTGTTGTCAGCTAGGAAATTTAACATACCCATGAATTAATCAATTTTAGGAATTATTGCCTCCTAAAACACTCCCTGAATCAGTATTAATACCATAGAGGGTATGGTCCTCCTAAAATTGGGTAGCCAGAATATTTGTACATATTGGCACTCATTAATTATTAAATGCCATGACCTCTGAAAATCATGTGATTTCATAATCTATATAACATAAAATTCAGAAGATAAATGAATTTTCTCTTCTCTATAGGTTATAATATGTGATTCTGGCTAGTCAATTTCTTTTCCAGGCAAAGAATTTCTAATAAAAGGATACACAGCTTTTATGTAATTTTTTTTTATTTCTATTATCTATCTGTGGAACATTTCCTATAGCCTCTTACATCTAGGATAAGAGAGAAAGATCTTATCAGATCATCACTTTTTACTACTACTTATAATTTACTGGTTTTTCTTTAATGAAAATAATTAGGTATAATGGAGAGTTTATGTCTTTTATATTTTATTCAAATTATAGGGATATCCAGGTCCTCCTGGGGTCCCAGGACCTGTGGGTCCACCTGGCTTACCTGTAAGTACAGAAAAGACTTTATATCCCTTCTAGAATGTCTGTTTAAATTTAAACCCATCATTTTGGTTATTCTATGTTTTTATGCAAAATATGTAATGTGTAAAACGAAGGGAGGCTGCTTCTCTCCCCAGTCAATGCAAAGCACTCTAGAATATGTCATGGTGTCTTGAACTTCCTCACCTCTACTTGTTCCATAAGCTTCTGCCCGCTTCTAATAGTACAACCAGTTTCAATTCTGCTGCCTAAAACTAAAAAGACATTTAAACTTTCTTGAATAACCACATATAAGAAAACAGGGTCAGTAGTCAAGATTAGAAGTCAGACCAATTGGATATATAAATCACAAGTAAGCATAAGTTCCAACATTTTTTAAAGAAATTTGCAAGTATTTTCAACCAAACACAATTTATAGAGAATCTACCTTTATTAAACAAAACTGGAGTTTTTCAAAATACTCTGTTTTTGCTTCGAGAAAGAAAATAAAATCTTGTCTCTTAAGGGATAACGTTTGCTTATCAAAATTTAACTGTGTTTATGAACTTAAATATGAAAGAGGTAAGCCTTTATGTTCCCCTAAGCAAAACTATTCTTATGAGAAATAATTTATGCGGTTGTGTGAAGATGCTTTTTTGAAGAGAAGCCCCATTTTACAGTATAGTGAAAGATACGGTGTTGACTTCTAAAATTAGGAATACTGATCTAGGGTCACAGTTGCCAATCTTTTTACTAACATCAGATAATTAATAAATTTGATATCTTGTAGAAGTTCACTGGTTTTATTTACCTACTGTTATATAGATAAATAATTTTTTTTCTAATTAAGTCTTTATTGAAGACTATAAGGCATAAAATAATTCATTGTAATTGACTTAATAGCAACTTAATCTTTATTTACAGGCTATTTTTGTGGCATGTTAATTGGAAACACTGTGGCTTTTTTCATAATAACAAAAAAAAATCTATCTTTGTGTTATGGGATTGTCATAAATGTCTAGAATAATGGGAAAGAAATCTCACAATGACGGCCATTGCTTCTTTAAGGAAACAGGCAGGTTAGACTGGTGTCTCCCTCCACTACTGATCCATGTATGTTCCTCCAGAAAACAATTCGTCAATATTAAAAGCTTCCATTCTTTGTTCAGGGTATAAATACCCAGAAATGAAGCTACTCCAAATAGTAGGAACATCAAAAGCACAATGTTGGGGAAGGAAAAGATGGTGTGTATTTTTTTTAACTAAAGCATATTTTTAAGGAGACTAATCAATTTTTATATGTGTTTTCTTTTTTTCATTGACTTCAGAGAAAGAGAGGGAGAGGGAGAGAGAGATAGAAACATCAATGATGAGAGAGAATCATGGATTGTCTGCCTCCTGAATGCCCCACCCTAGTGATCAAGCCCACAACCCGGGCATGTGCCCTGACTGGGAATTGAACCATGACCTCCTGGTTCATGGATCAACGCTCAACCACTGAGCCACAGCGGCCAGGCTAATCAATTTTATTTTAAGAATTCCCAAGGGGAATTACATGTTTTAAGAAAGGGTATAACTACTATTCTGATAACATTCCTGTGAATCGTATAACTGATATTAAAATTTTCATCATGTAGGGTCATGTTGGGGCAAGAGGACCACCTGGGAGTCAAGGTCCTAAAGGACGAAGAGTAAGTTATCTAATGAAGGAAGTAACTTCATCTCAAAAATTCCTGCCTAATCATGTGTTCCACAAAAGTAACTTTATATATTCTAGATTGTGCTGAGACATTATTGGATTTTCCCCTTGTTTTCATTATATTAGGTGAACTACCTACATTTATTGAAATAATGACTCAAAATCATTTGTATTTATAAAACCATACATTTCTGCTATGAATTTCACTAATTCATATAGAATTCTTCTTTCTTATACCCAGATTCATTCTTTGAGGGAGCTATTAACATGAAGATTTTTAAATAAATTCTTATTTTACTCATAAGAGGCTCACATAGCAAGGAATAGTAGCATCATAACAAAATAAGGGCAATGAGAAATGGAATGAAGCTATATGGGATGAACAAGAGGTGATATGATCATGATGCAGAATTAAATGAAAAATCTTACTCTCTACTTTTTTTATTCTTTTAATAAATCTTTATTGTTCAGATTATTAAAGTTGTTCTCCTTTTTC